GAGACTTGCAGACAGACTCGCACAGACTTACAGACTCGTAGACTTGCAGACAGACTCGCACAGACTTACAGACTCGGAGACTTGCAGACAGACTCGCACAGACTTACAGACTCGTAGACTTGCAGACAGACTCGCACAGACTTACAGACTCGTAGACTTGCAGACAGACTCGCACAGACTTACAGACTCGTAGACTTGCAGACAGACTCGCACAGACTTACAGACTCGTAGACTTGCAGACAGACTCGCACAGACTTACAGACTCGTAGACTTGCAGACAGACTCGCACAGACTTACAGACTCGTAGACTCGCAGACAGACTCGTAGACTTGCAGACTCGCAGACTGACTCACAGACTGACTCACAGATTTGCAGACAGAATCACAGACTCGCAACTCGCAGAACTCGCAGAGAGACTCACAGACTCACAGACTCGGAGACAGACCCACAGACTCACAGACAGCTCACAAACTTCACAAACTTGCAGACAGACCCACAGACTCGCAGACTCACAGATAGACTCGCAGACAGACTCACAGAGTCACAGACAGATAGTTTTACCTGTGTTTGTCCCATGGCCGATGACGAGCTCTCGTCCATAAACCCGTCAGGTTTCTCCCACTGAGACTCTGAGATCAAACACACAGTGAGTGATGAAGAACACAGATGGACACGCGTGTGCGTCTCAATCATCAGCTCACCTCCAGTGACGGTGTTGTAGAAATACTCCAGGCCGTTGTTTGTGGTTCCTCTCAGCCAGACATCCGGCCGGCCGCCGCCGCTGCTCTCTGACGGGACGCTCGCTTTGAGTTTCTTGGGTTTTTTCTGCGTTTTAGCAGGAGCTTCAGACAGAGCCACACTCTCACCTGTAGAGACATGAGAACCGTGAGGAGCAGCGTTATCTCACACACACACACACACTCACACACACACCTGACGACTGACCCGCCAGCCTCTTCAGATCCTCCTCATACGCCTTCAGAGCCGCTTCCTCCATCGCTGCAAACTCCTTTGACATCTTCTGCTCCTGCTTAGCCTTCGCCACACTTTTCTTCTTAATCTATTATGAACATTGACGGGGTCACATGAGCTCTGCCGGCCAATCAGAGAGCATCTCTCACACACACACTCTTATCTTCACACACACGCAGCTCGGACAGCAGCAGCGGCCAACACGCCGTTTACTTCAGATCACACCCACTGCATCTGACAACACACACACACACACACACACACACCGTATCCCATAATGCAAAGAGCTTCTGGAGCTTCCATCTGCAGTGAATGAATGAGCAGAAGCTCAAATCAAACAGTTTGAAGAACATCTCCTTGAAAGTGTTTTGCGTAAAATTGAAATAAAAAATGCAAAATTGTATTTCTGAGATGATGACTCATGAAACACATCTGTTCACTGTTCGGATATGGTGCAATACACACTGAATAATATGAAATGCATTTTGCTGCTTTATTGTCACATGAACTCATCATATTGTGTGTGAGTGGAATCCAGCTATTATCATACAAAAATAGTTATTTTTTTTCCCTTTTAAATGAAATTTTGTGGAAAAACAATGCTGTCAGGCTGATTAAAGAGGCTGCGATTTTAATTTTCTTACTTATGCAATTGTGACGTGGCGGCTATCAGTGCAAAGCAGCTTCTTCATTCATTACAAGAGCAGATGTGTTTTTACAAAATAATGATGTGCACAGACAAATAATTTATACTATTCACAGATTCCCTTCTTTTTGGCGATAAAGATATGAAACATAAAAAATATAATAACACTGCAATATTCCATAAAAAATAAGAATAGTCTATTCTGATGTCGTGGTGACTTTAAACAAATTAAAAAAGGTGATTCTTCTTCTTCATTCATTGACACTGGAAGTGGAAGGTCTAGTCCACTGCATTTTGGGATGGCACATTTAGCCAAATCTAGAAGGCCATCAGTGTATTTCATGCATAAATGTGCATAGTGAGTACAGTAATACACAACAGAACCAGAGAGAATAGACACATAGCATCCGCTAGACTGCAGTATGCAGCATGCAGTGTGCACTACACTAGTGTTGTATTCTGATCACAGCAGTTCTTCTTGCTTTACCTCTGCGATTTTGGCCGCAACATTTTCTTTGTGATTCTTTCCTCTCTCGTGGAACTCGACACTCTGCGAAAACACAAACTGTTTATGAACATACATTCAGATCGAGTATTTATGAAACATCCGGGTATATAGCTCTGGATTCACTCACGGGTTTATTATCCGCGATCCAGCATTTGCAGTACTGACAGAACTTCTTCGGCTGAGACTTCCAGTATTCAGTCCTTGATCACAAACACACAAAGATTCGTTATTATAATTACAGTGCGATAACGTAGAGCCCGACCGCGCGAGTTCTTAAAATGTCTTTTTTTTTCTTTTTTTTTGTAAATGCTCGTGATTACTAACATGTTGAAGGATGAAAACTTCAAATCCCATGAAGGTTCGTAGATGTTTTACTGAAATCTACACGCTCACTGCTGGCACTTCAAAATGACGTCACTGACGGCGCGACGAACCTCGACGCAGGAAAAGCTCGACTAAAACAAGACTGAAAAATACAATCGTAAAAGATAATTATCAACAACATGAAAAAACTATAAAACAGTATCTCACAATCACATTTTGTGAACTAGAAGTAACTATACCTATACTGTAGCTATAAGAGGCCCTCAGGCCGCGAGCGCGTCAGGACTCCCATATGGTCTAGCGGTTAGGATTCCTGGTTTTCACCCAGGCGGCCCGGGTTCGACTCCCGGTATGGGAAGGTGTATTTTTCCAGATTTATAAAGATTTCCCAACTCAGATTTAAAGTTAAGGTTCATCATTAATCATGTTAGGGTGAATTCAGGTCAAGTGGGCCATTTAAGTTTGATTGTACTGTGCTCAATGGGTTTGCACTGTTAGAGCACAACAATGGTTCTTAATTAAAGAGACACTATTTCTTTAAATGATGAACTAGTTTTGGTTGATGCAATGTGACACTGGTGGGCGTGGCCACACCTCAAAGGAGGACTGCGTCATGATGAACAGCAGAAAACCCTTGGACAGAAGAGTCACACTTGCCTCCTTTGAAGCCTTGAAATGTAACTTCTTTTTTTTTCAGGAAAATCAATGTAATATATTTTTGTTCAATAATATATTTTTATTACTATTTATGATTTTGAGGGAATTTTATGATGCTATGCTATATTTATACAATTTTAATGAGCAATTTTCTCCATTAGAATTAATATATTTTTAAAATGTATTTACTATACAGTTAACAGGGAATAAAATGCAAAGAACAAAATGTTTAAAAATGTGTTAGTTTTCTTGTAAGGCGTTTAAATATTGCTGGCCCACTTTGGCTGAATGTGTTAGAAAAAGTGGGCCGGTGGGATTCAGGTAAAGTGGGCTGACCTTTAACCTTCAGTAAATATACTCAAATTCATTAAATAAATTGACATTCACTGGTTATTTTATAGTTGACACGTATAATTAGCTTTTTTAGAAAACTGAAATTAGTCTGCGGTCTGGAAATTGAAGTCAGAGATGGAAGAAAGCAAAGAGAGAATAGAAAGGAAGTCAAGGCATGAAGTTATTATAGATGTACACACGAGAACCACAGAAATATGACAGAAATAACTCGTAAATGCTGTTAGAGACACGGACTGTATTTCAGCACCGAATCATTTTCACCAGTAAATTTATATCGAGTCCTGAAGATTCACTCTAATAAGATTAAATCTTTTTAAAACATGAGCTGATCGTCAGTCCTACTTCAGTTGTGTTAAATAATAAATCATAAAGGCCCTGAGTGAGATCAAATAAATGTTTTAAATGTAAGTAAACTCTCTCACACTGAAGATCTACAGTGAAAACATCAGCAGAAGAGACTCATCAGGACAGAAATGATTACTCATTAAGACCCTGAATTAATCCGGTCAACCAGCAGCACATGGGTTGATTAGCAGAGTTATTATAGTTAAAACCCATAAACAATATTATAACTTCAAAATAAAATAAACATCAACTGAAATTAAATATTACAACTTTTTTATTTCAGCTAGCTGAAAACAAAAACTGTGAAAAATGACAAAAACACACGAAATGTGTTGAAATCAAATGAAAACAAAAATGAAAAACATTAATAACAATTATACTAAAACAACACTGTTGATTAGTAGCGGTTAGTAGTCTAGACTAGACAGTGCTGGGAAGAGATACTTTTAAAAGTAATGCGTTACAATGTTGCGTCACTCCCTAAAAAGCAACTAATTGCAGTATTAGTTACTTGCTGTGGAAAGTAATGCCTTACTTTACTTTTGCATGACTTTTTCTCATCTGGGCTGGGCTTGCTTCTTTGTTTTTAATATCAAATGTTATATTTTTGGCAAATGAAAACTGAAGGTCAGCAGTAAAGACATTGGTTAATAAAATGGGATTTAAATGCATTTTTGTGTATTAATTTACTATTTAAATACGGATATTTGTGTTATTTAACATATTTAATTATTGCAGGTTTGCATATACAATGTTTTTATTGATTGTGAGGAACACTGAATGTGTTTGTGTGCAGGTGAGATGAGTAAACACATGTTGTTATTTAGTCTAGAACTACAGTAAGATCATGTTCACACACAACGCTCTGCACTTACTCCTGATTTCTGTCACCATGGCAACACCAGAGCTGTCACTCAACACATGGAAACAAAGTAACTGCTGGTAAACACTAGTTACTTGAAAAAGGAAATCTGATTACACAAGGTGCGTTACTTTTAATGACTATATGAGTAAAGCAGAGTCTAATGTTTTGGATTCCCAGAACAGACATAAAAATATCAGCAGCACACAATCATAAAAAACTTTATTTGGATTTTAAATACAGACACACCCATTAAAATATCAGTCATACAGAAAACTGTGGTGCATTTACAGAAACAATGTGCAAACATGAAGAACGCTCTTTTAAATATCTTTTACACAATGAATTAAGGAAACAAGATGAGAAGATAACTTTTAAATAAATCAATACAGTGCCTCTGAAAATCCTCCTGATTCCAGACAGAACGAAGAAATAATCAACCATAAAATAAACATTAACAGTGAAAGTGCAACGTCAAGGACAATTATAATCAAAACTTCATTTAAGTCAAATACGTTTACAAATGGTGCAATAATTGGTCCGTATAAGGTAGTGTATAAGGTAAAAAGCACTATTAATCATATAAACATATGCACATTAAACTCTTACGTACCTGTAAATAGTTAAAAACCTGTTGAATTTTGGTTCAAACTTTTGAAATCATAAAAATGGAATCATACTCTTCAAAATAAAGGTGCTTCACGATGCATTAGAAGAACTTTTTTTTTTGTCTAAATGGTTCCATAAAGATTCTGAAGAACCTTTCTGTTTCACAAAAGCTTCTTTGTGGTGTTCTTCAGATTCTAAAAAGCTCAGAAAGACATGCTTCTTTGACTGAATGCTTCTTTGTGGAACCAAAAATGGTTCTTTTCTGAGGCATCGCTGTGAAGAACCTTTAAAGCACCTTTATTTTTAATAAGAGTGTATTCCAACTTCAAACAACCGTACAAACCGTTTCAAGTGGTTTAGTTTAAGTGCGATTGCTTCAGCGCAGGGACGAGGGGCCCCTGATTTAGCAGCATGTGCGATCCCTCAGATCCTCGGTGCGTTTGCATACAGAGCTGCGTTTGCTCTGGAAGCCTCCTCAAGAGCACTTGGTGAGAAAGCGAGCGGCCCGGGCCAGCGGGACGCTCCGGACCCGTCTCTGAGCGTCAGTAACAGCCGTCGCGCCAGCTCCCATCCCTCAGAGCGCTCAGCGTCGCCAGGCTCTTCGGCGGCGGCAGCAAACTACAGCAATCACGACAACCAATAACTCCTCGCAATAAAGCATTATACAGCAACAAACAGTGCTGGGGAAACTTACTTTTAAAAGTAATGTGTTACAATGTTGCATTACTCCCTAAAAAAGTAACTAATTACGTAACTTAGTTACTTTTTGTGGAACGTAATGCGTTATGCTACTTTTGAGTTACTTTTTAAATCTGGGCAGGGCAAGCTAATATCACGTAATTTACGTCTCTGTGATGATTGGTTGATATCAGAACGTCTTCAGTGTCACATGATCCTTCAGAAATCATTCTAATATGCTGCTCATTTATTATCTGAAATGTTGGAAATGTTGGAAACAGGTTCCAAAATAGCAGCAAAAACTGATATTTTTTTCAGGATTTATTGATGAATAACAAGTTAAAAAGAACAGCATTTATCCAAAATAGAAATCTTTTCTAACAATATAAATCTTTGCTATCACTTTGTATCAATTCAACACATCCTTCCTGAATAAAAGTATCACAGGTTCCAAAAAAATATTAAGCAGTACAACAGTTTCCAACATTAATAATAAATCAGCATATTAGAATGATTTCTGAAGATCATGTGACACTGAAGACTGGAGTAATGATGCTGAAAATACAGCTGCGCATCACAGAAATAAATTACAGTTTAACAGATATTCACATAGAAAACCATTATTTTAAATTGCAATAATATTTCATAATATTACAGTTTTTTCTATATTTTTAATCAAATATATGCAGCCAGAAGAATAATCACTTTAATAAACACAATAAAATGGTACTGATCTCAAACCTGTGAACGGCAGTGTAATATGGTTGTAATCAGTTGTTGAGCTTCATCCTAAAATGATGCTTTACTCGCTCAAGCCGCTGCAGATCTAAACTCTTCAGGATCTCACCCTGAATTTTTCATGACCTTCTTATTTTAGGTTTTAATCCGAATGAGTCTGAATATGAAAGCAGTTTTGAGGATTTGAAGCGTTTACCTGCGCAGCGGAGCGGTGAGTTTGGCTCGAGGGCCGGAGCCGGTGCTGATGAAGGACGAGGGCCGAGGCAGACCGCTGCGTGACGCCGCCGCCGTTTTAGGGACCCCGCTGACCGACAGACTCTGTAAACTGACCGAGGAGCTCATGAGAGACGAGCCCTTGACGGTGGGACTGACATACGCTGTGGCTCTGAGCGGCTGACGGGACGAGAAGCTCCCCACGCTCTGAACACGGCTCTGCAGCTGCGCCGGAGCAGGAACTACTCAGAGAAACACAAAACCCTCAGTCACTATTCCCTACATCAGGCCACTAGCACAGTTCACTTGAAGGAGGGAATGAAAACGAGTGAGTGAGTGAATGCAGACACTAGCTATGTCTCCATCCATCTATTTTTATGCACATTTTGGGATATCGCATAAAAAACGCTGGATGGAAACACCAAGATGTGCATGGGTTAAAGACGTTAAGATATCCGCATCAAAGGAAATTTTCATAGAAAGCACATTAAATGTAAGTAAAGTGTCTACTTTTAAGGCTTCAAATACGTTTTTGGAGAAAATGTTACAATTTGGTTGAAATAATGTTACATTGTCATTCAGTGTAACGCAATATTTATGTAAAAATTCAAACAACATGCTTATTCAGAATTGTACATATTAAAATGTATAAAAGAATAAGTGAGCATATTAAATTTGA